ACAGTCAAAGCTTTTAACTGGAAATAATATATTCAGATGCCACCCCCTTGTGATCAGCAATGTTTTGTATAGTAACTGTAATTTAATATAACCGTAACTGATTACAATTATATTTATTGTGTAATTTAATTACTGTGACTAGTTACTCTGCAACACCAGTAGAATAAGACCAAATTTAATAAAGTTCTAAAGTTGTATAAACTAAAACAAAAAGAAATCCAGCTATGTAAAAGACATAACCTAAACATGACATTACAACATGTTCCCCTCAGAAAAAACAGTTTTGGACCATGAATCAAATCACAGTGTCACATCCTTGAACGACCATATCTATTCTCCTGCACAGCTCTGCCCACCTCTGTCTGCGAGGTTATCATCAGTTCATCAAGAGAACATGGAAGGGAGAGACAATACCTCGCCCCCACCTCCGGCAGGCTCTCCGAGTGCCTCAGATCATTTCGGTGGAACACCAGCACCTTGGACTTGAACGATTTCAAGAGGAAGAGACCTCACATGCTTCATGAGATTATCAGCTGCTGTTATGATCAAAACAAACATGAATAGGCTTCAGTTCTGTGAGTGTTTCACTGCATCACACAGACTGTTAACAAATCCACTGATGGTAAAATAATTAGTTTCTTCAGTTTCAATCTGCTGTCTCTAAAACCCCTCTGGATATGAAGCTGGAGACCTGTCTGACATAATCAGTCCAAATACAATAGATTAAATATTTGTCAGAATGAATATTTATAGAAGGTTAATGACCCTTGATAACTACTGTGTGCACACAGAATAAAACTGTACTTCACAGAAATACTGAAGCCTGTTAACAGCAAACTACAGGCTCATAATTTGATGTTTTTTCATGGTTACTTTTGTTATATAGATTGAAATAATCCAGCCTGGTTGCAAGGTTATAGTATCCAAGGGTGTCTTTTCTTCTCTATGACAGGTTGGAATGTAATTGGTTTATAGACAGTCTGGTTTTTTGGCCACAGCACTGACTATGAAACACTACAAGACCTCTTCAGTGGTTGAAAGTACTGTAACTAATGTACATGTACTCCTGCACTGTGCTTCAGTAAACATCTTAAGGTAATTTAACTTACTTTATACTTTAACATATCTAAGGGAAATGCCATACCTTGTTCTCCATTTATTTGACAGCTTTAGTTACTTTTCAGGTTAAGATTTCACACATAAAACATACTGAATCTAACTACTACCATGCAGTAATCAGATCCATTTTGATTGACTGCAAGTACAGTCTACATGTCAAATCATCAATAATGATATAATAATATAAAATTATTAGATTGGCTGGAGTGAAAGTACCAAAAGGTACCAAAAGGACCTAAGTGCATTTAGATGTGTGTACACAAATCATATATACTAATGTTTTTGATGCTGTCGACTCACAAAGAACTGACCAGGAGGCTGTTTTTCTGTACAAATACCTAATCAATAGAACTGATTTATCTGATACTATGTGTTTTTCATATATTGGTCACAAATAAGAGGTCACAGCTTCCCCACCTTGGCATATGGCCCCTGATCGCTGCACAGCACGTCCTCTTTGGAAAGGCCGGTGGAACGCACTGCCATTGGGTGTCGCTGTGCGCGTAAAGTCTCCGCCAGCAGGTTTTGGTCCGACCGGACGCCAACAGTCTTAAGTGTCAGATAGTCTTGTTAACACGTGAGAAATTCAGTGCATGGACGAGGGTGAAAGAAGTGAAAACCGGGAGGGAGAGAGAGAGAGAGAGAGAAAGAGAGAGAGAGAGAGAGAAGGCTGCAAAATTATTTGGAAGAGAAATTTTGAGAGAGAGCGGGAC